GTCGCCTCCCTCAAGGATGATAAGCCTGAGAAGAAGTACCCGGATATGCACATGAAAAACATGCGCAGAAGAGGCATGAGTACACCACAGCGGTACTCAGTAAGTGCCAAGCCTAACCTCGATCGGGTAGTGACGAGGAAGGTCAGGGCCCTACTGAGGTAAATAATAATAATAGTGACAGGTTAAGATAAACAATATAATTGAGAATCTACAGTAAGAGTCTATACATGATAATAAGAGTACAATAACGGAAACAGAATATAAAGACAAATCACCAGGTAACACCACTCACAACAGGGATAATAATCAGGGATCTCTTGGTATCCCGAGGATCTCTTGGTATCCTCAATATATATACACTAGGGATCTCTTGGTATCCTCAATATATACACACTAGGGATCCCTTGGTATCCCGAGGATCTCATGGTATCCTCAATATATGCCAGGGATCTCTTAGTATCCCGAGGATCTCTTGGTATCCTCAATGTATGATAGGGATCTCTTGGTATCCCGAGGATCTCTTGGTATCCTCAATATATGCCAGGGATCTCTTGGTATCCCGCACCTAAGTCCAGATCATAAATACGTACAGGGGATCTCCCGGGATGCCGTCCCATAGTCCCAAATTAAAACACGCAGAAGCAACACAAGGATACTCAATTAAATGCTAAATACGTATCAAGTAAACAGTTAATTCTAGTCTAACATGCTTCACGTAAAGCAATTAAAGCAGTTTAAGCAAAAGGAAATTAAGTCAACTAAACATGCTTTTCTAAACTAACAACAGGCTAAAGTCGCAAGTAGAATAAACAGGAAGGAAAGGAACTCAACTTAAATACAAAGAAATAAAACCGGGTTTTTCAACAATTAGCTCAAGTACGCGCTCGTCACCTCATGTACAAGGCAGTTCAATTATCAAACATCATATCCTAAGGGGAAGGTCCACCACACAAGGTTAGACAAGCCACTTACCTCGAACCGGCTCAAAATCAACTAGAAACCACGTTCTTGCCACGAGTATCCGACTCCAAATGGCCCAAATCTATTCAATTCCATTTCATAATGTAAATAATACTTCAAGAAGCTGATTCGACAATTAAATTCTAAGCTAATACGCAAAATTATGTAAAATGACCAAAACGCCCCTCGGGCGCATGTCTCGGAATCGGGTGAAATTTGTATTTTCAGAATCCTCACACCCACACGAGTCTATTCATACAAAAATCCCTCAAATCGGATGACAAAAACCCAATCAAAACTAAATCTCTAGGTCTAAGAACTTTTCCCCCAATTTCTACCAAAATTCCGAAATTAAAGGATGAATTTAAGTGAAGATTCATGGAAATTAGTCTAAACCGAGTAAGAATCACTTACCCAAGTCGCCCAGGTGAAAATCCCCTCAAAATCGTGATCTCCCGAGCTCCTAAGTCCAAAATATGAGTTATGGTCTAAACCCTCAATTTTGGGTTTTAAATTCTCTGCCCAGATGTTCTTCATTGCGATCGCAAGAAATCATCTGCGATCGCGAAGAGTAAAAGTGAAAGGCTCCAGAAATGGCCTACGCGATCGCGACATGAAGAATGCGATCGCAGAAGAGGAAAAGTGAAGGGTCCTCGAACTGGCCTATGCGAACGCAATAGTAGGCTTGCGATCGCAGAAGAGGACAAGTCCAGTTTATGCGTTCGGGGTCGAAGCCACGCGAACGCGAAGAGTAAAAGGACAATGAACCACCTGCTCCCATTTCTACTATGCGAATGCGGAAGTGTAACTGCGAATGCGAAGGAGGAAGAGGCTGACTTCCGCGATTGCGAGTAATGTAATGCGATCGCGAAGAACAACTTAGGCCCCCTCAGAGAATGCACTACGTGATCGCGGAGGTAAGGATGCGATCGCAGAGAAGGAAACCAGATACCAGCAGTTCAGCAATTCAACAAGTTCCAAAAATGATCCGTTGAGCATCCGAAACACACCCGAGGCCCTCGGGACCTCAACCAAACCTACGAACATATCCCATAACATCATTCAAACTTGTTCCAACCCTCGGAACGCTCAAAACAACATCAAAACATCCATTTTTCATCGGATTCAACCTTAAGGATTTCAAAAACTCTAAAAACACACTTTCGATCAAAAAGTCTATCAAACCTCGTCCGAATGACCTGAAATTTTGCACACACGTCACATTAAACACTACGAAGCTACTCCAGCTTCCGGAATTCCATTCCGACCCACGGATCAAAATCTCACTATCGGACCGGAAACTTAAAAAATTCAACCTTCGGCATTTCAAGCCTAAATTAGCTACGGACCTCCAAAATACATTCCGATCACGCTCCTAACCCCGAAATTACCTAACGGAGCTAACGGAACCATCGAATTTCCATTCCGAGGCCGTCTTCATACTGTTTCGACTATGGTCAACTTTCCAACACTTAAGCTCTCATTTAGGGACTAAGTGTCCCAAAACTCTCCGAAACTTAAAATCGAACATCCCGGCAAATCAAAATAGCAGAAATAAACTTGGGGGAAGCAGTTAATAGGGGATCGGGGCGTAAATTCCAAAAATGACCGGCCAGGTCGTTACATCCTCCCACACTTAAACATTTGTTCGTCCTCGAACGAGCACAAAGACATACCTAAAGTAGCTGCTCATGGCCCCAAACTGCTGAGCGGCGCGCTAGAGCTCAAAACGACCAGTCGGGTCGTTACACCGTCAAAGTTAGGGAAGCTCCCATCAGAAGCTGCAACGAGGCAACCACGTGAAGGTATGGGATACAAGCAACCGTCACCAGTGCGCATCTCAATAAGAAGGGCGAGTAGCAATTATATCTGTGTAGAAGACGAATCTGCCGCTTCTAGCAGGCCTTCTATCTTCGATCGGCTTGGAAAATCAACTGTGAGAACTTCCGTATTTGAGAGATTGGGTCCATTAAAGAATGGGAATAAGTTCCAGAGAAATTAACGAAATACAAGAACACCCGCTTCACCCAAAATTCACAAGAAACTCTAAAGATTTCCAAAGTTTGGTTCCTTCTAGAATGAAGCGATAAACAAAAGTCACGGTTTCATGTGATGAAGTACTGAAGGTGAAGCCATACACTGTGGTCTATACTAAAGAACGTGATGAAGATGAAGAAAGTGTGGGTTCTTCGTATCATGTTACTGCACAAGGCGAGCACGGTCTTTTATCTCTAATGGAGGATGACAAGAAATTGGACGATGTTTCACCATGTTATCACATATCCTTCAATGATGGGGACCCTCAAGAAGATGAAGACGCAAATGATGCTCCTCCAGAACTCGAAGAAGGGATGAAGGGAATGATTGATGCCTAAAAAGAAGTTAACCTTGGCACTGATGAAGAACCAAGACCCACCTACCTAAGTGCTTTACTAGAAGTTGATGAAGAAAGCACTTATATTGAGTTACTCAAGGAGTTCAGGGACGTCTTCGCTTGGAGTTACAAAGAGATGCCTGGCTTGGACCCAAAAGTAGCAGTCCATCACCTTGTAGTCAAAAATGGTGCTCGCCCTGTTAAACAAGCTCAAAGGCGTTTTAGGCCAGACTTGGTTCCCTTGATTGAAACCGAAGTTAACAAACTCATCGAAGCTGGCTTTACTCGCGAAGTTAAATACCCAACATGGGTTTCAAGTATTGTCCTTGTAAGGAAGAAGAATGGCCAGATTCGAGTGTGCGTTGACTTTAGAGATCTCAACAATGCATGTCCGAAAGATGAATTTCCGCTTCCTATTCCAGAGCTGATGATCGATGCTACTACTGGTTACGAGGCAATGTCTTTCATGGACGGTTCGTCGGGCTATAACCAAATACGCATGGCACCAAAAGATGAAGAGCTTACTGCATTCCGTACCCCAAAGGGTATTTATTGCTACAAGGTAATGCCTTTTGGCTTGAAGAACACTAGTGCTACTTACCAAAGGGCTATGCAGAATATTTTCGACGATCTTCTCCACAAGAATGTCGAATGCTATGTTGACGACTTGGTGGTGAAATCAAGAGAGAAGGGCGACCACGTGAAAGACTTGAGGATGGTATTTGAATTGCTCCGGAGGTACCAACTTAGGATGAATCCATTGAAATGTGCCTTTGGAGTTACTTCTGGAAAGTTCCTTGGTTTCATTGTTCGACATCGAGGGATCGAAATTGATCAAGCCAAAGTGGATGCCATTTTGAAAATGCCTGAGCCTCGAGATATGCATGAGGAAAGCTAGCATACCTTAGAAGATTCATATCAAACCTGGCTGGGAGGTGCCAACCATTTAGTCTCCTCATGAAGAAAGGCGTTCCTTTCAAGTGGGACCAAGCTTGTAGCAATGCCTTCGAAAGTATCAAAACCTACTTGATTAAGCCTCCAGTTTTAGCAGCTCCTATACCTGGAAAGCCGCTGATACTATACATTTCAGCACAACAGAGGTCTGTTGGAGCGCTGTTAGCCCAAGAAAATAGTGAAGGGAAAGAAAACTCCCTTTACTACTTGAGCAGGATGATGACACCTAACGAGTTGAATTATTCGCCAATTGAAAAGTTGTGTTTGGCGCTAGTCTTCTCAATTCAAAAGTTGAAGCACTACTTTCAAGCTCATGTTGTCCGTCTTGTTTCTAAAGCAAATCCCATCAAGTTCGTGATGTCAAAACCTGTTCTTAGCGATCGACTAGCGAGATGGTACCTCCAATTTCAACAATTCGAGATTTTGTAAATCCCTCAAAAGGATGTAAAAGGACAAGCATTGGCAGACTTCTTAGCAGATCATCCGATACCTGATGACTAGGAGCTAACTGACGAACTACCTGATGAGGACGCAATGGTCGTTGAAGTTCAACCTCCATGGAAGACTTTGATGGTGCTGCACATCATGGAGGAGCCGAGGCTGGCATAGTATTTCTCACTCCCCAAGGTGAAGTCTTGCCCTACTCCTTAACCTGACACAACTCTGTTCCAACAACGTTGATGAGCATCAAGCATTAATACTTGGGCTTGAAATGGCCGTTAATATGAAGCAACTGCAATTGCAAGTCTTTGGTGACTCCCAGTCAGTGGTCAATCAACTCTTAGGTAGTTACAAGGTCAAGAAGCCCGAACTACGCCCATATCATGATTACGCTAAAAAATTAATGGGGTGGCTCGGTGATGTGACTATACAGCATGTGCCAAGGAAGAAAACAGGAAGGCGGATGCTTTAGCTGCCCTAGCTTCATCGTTAATCCTGCCTGACCAAGCGCAAGTTATTGTCTGCCAAAAATGGATAGTACTGCCACCAAATGAGGCTGAAGGTGAAGAAAATGAACTCAAGCATCTTGTCGTTGTTTCTGAAGTTGGGAAAGAAGAATGGCGACAACCCATTATCGACTACTTATGCTATGGGATACTTCCAGAAAATCCGAGGAGAAGGACTGAAATCCGTCGCCGTGCACATCGCTTCCTTTACTACAAAGATACTCTATACAGAAGGTCATTCGAGGGAATACCTTTGCGATGCTTAGGGGAAGAAGAAGCACTCCAAGCTTTGCAAGAGGCACATTCAGGAGTATGTGGGTCACACCAGTCTGGACCAAACCTCCACTTCCATATAAAAAGGATGGGATATTATTGGCCAACGATGGTAAAAGATTGCTTGGACTACGCTAGAAGATGCAAGGCTTGTCAATTCCATGCGAATTTTATTCATCAACCTCCTGAAGTGTTGCACCCGACTGTTGCATCCTGGCCGTTTGACGCTTGGGGATTTGATATTGTTGGACCACTGCCAAAGTCCTCTGGTGGGCACCTATACATCTTGGCTGCAACTGACTAGTTCTCAAAATGGGCTAAAGTTGTTGCTCTTAAGGAAGTAAAGAAGGAAAATGTTGCAAGTTTCATCCGAGTAAACATTATTTATCTCTTTGGAATTCCTCGTTACATAATAACGGATAATGGAAAGCCATTCGATAATAGGCTGATGAACAAGATTTGTGATATCTTTGGCTTCAAGCAACGTAACTCTTCGATGTACAATGCTGCCGCAGATGGTCTAGCTGAGGCATTCAACAAGACTCTATGCAACTTGTTAAAGAAAGTCGTCCCAAATCTAAACGAGATTGGAATGACCGTATGGAAGAAGCTCTATGGGCAAATAGGATGACTCACCGCACGCCAATGCAAGTGACCCCTTATTCACTTGTCTATGAAGTCGAAGACGTCCTGCCACTCGAGCGTCAAATACCTTCATTACGATTAGCTATCCAAGAAGGGATCACTGATGAAGAAAATGCTCGACTTCGATTAGTAGAGTTGGAGGCTCTTGATGAGAAGAGGTTGGAAGCTCAACAGAGTCTTGAATGTTATCAAGCTCGATTGTCTCGCGCCTTCAATAAAAGAGTTCGCCCGAGATCCTTTCAAGTAGGAGATCAAGTCCTTGCCGTACGAAGACCCATAATTACTTCCCATAAACCTGTAAGGAAGTTCACTTCAAAATGGGATGGGCCATATGTCGTACAAGAAGTCTTACTCAAGTGGGGCTTACAAGTTGGTTGATGTAGAAGGCATGAGA